GCGGTTCCTTTGTGCCATTTCTAGAACTTGGCCTCACCTCTCCAGCGTATGCATTGCTGGGTGGACTTGGTTCAACCCCTTGGGGAAGGTTTGCAGCTTGGTGTGGCTGGCAGAGCTGGTGTGTGTGCTCCTCCAGCATGCACCCGTGCGTTGAGAGGGGATGGTTTTCTCTTTCGAATGAATCGCAGTCCTCTCTGCACGCTGCCCACCCTTCTCGTAGACACCCTTTGAGATGAGCAGCAGAAGAGCAGAATACTGATTAGATGTAAATTACATGGCAGAGACTCGTTACTTGCCTAATTTTAAATCCTGAGATATGCAGCGTGAAAGTGATGGCAGAATATGGCCCTGAGCTTGGATGGAAATGGTCCGCAGCATCACAAGTGAGGAAAATGCTTCGTAAAGGCAGCAGTAACGCCAGTGGCAGCGGGAAGCGAAAGCAATGGAGCATTTTAGGGCAAAGTTCTTGTGGCTGGTTAGGAAGGAAAAATGTACATCCGTCGCAGATGTTGTAAGTGTTTTCTAAGTTTCTATATCAGCTGCATAAAAATTCCAGCCAGTTTGCCAACTAGACCCTCAATCATGCAAAAGCTGGGGTTTTTGATAGCTGACAGAGCTTGTATTAATTCTTTGCGAGGTCTAACGTGCTGTACTGGCAACAACACTCTTGTTGGTTCTGGTGGGTTTGCTGGCTTTGTGATAGGAAATTTCTTATAATGAATCTTAAGGGCAAGCGAATTAATTACATTGAGATTTCAGACCGAATCTGTTCTTCTCTTGTCATAATCCCATTTCTGTGCTCTGGCAGCATATGGGAAGTAACACTCCATGGTACCTGGATGACATGTCTGCTGAGTAGCTTGAAGCAGTTTTCGGCTGATTGTGTCTGATGGTGTTTGCAGAATGTTGTTGGAACCAGATCAACTCTCTGCAGATTAAAACCAGTTGCAGTGTCTACGCCTGGATCTATTGTTCTAGTGACAGACTCCCTGAACTCATTATAATTTAGACTAACAGTGACAGTTCCTGCTTTTAGCAAAACTCAGCAGACTCGGGATAAAATGAAATGAAGGAAGTGTTCAGTAATTCCGAGTAGCCAACAAGATTTGAAAATAATTCCACAAAATTGCAGTGTACCACACCATCGGCCCTAGACTGTGGTCCTCAAGTCAGGGGAAATGACCCGTAGCTGGTCCCCATAATCATATTAAATCATGTTTTCAGTTAGACCCTCGCTGAGAACTGGGCATAGGTGCTGATTCTTGAGAAACCTTGAGTGTTGATGGTAAATATAAGATGTTGGGGAACTGCTGGTTAAATAGATGCTGCAGGTCGTTACACCTGGCTATGGTAGGTCCTGCCTGTCCTGTCCATCCTCACGTCAGATGGCTTCCCATCGTGCAGCCCTGCTCAAAGAGAGCACACATGCACCTCCCGCTTGAAGGAAGAAGTTGGGACAACTGCTATGTGCAATTGTTTAGGGCTGAATGGATGTGCTGAGATGTGAAAACTGTTATTTTCACATTTGTTTCTTTAAGCTAGATCATTTCCTCTGCTCATTTGTGTCAGGAAAGGGCTCGGGAGGCAACGTACAGCTGCAACCAGAGGACAAGAGTCTCCCATCAAAGTGGAAAGCTGTATTACAGCTGGCAGTATCTTAGCACGGTTTCTCTCCCTTGGGACAAAATGCATGCTGTTAATCTAGGAAAGGTCCATTTAAGAATTTAACCCAAGTGGGGCGGTGTTATGACAACAGTGGGAAAGGGGGAGGCAGATGACGGAGCTCGGAGTGAGAGGGACGACAATTAACAGGTTTGAGCAGGATCCTGGGGAAAGCAGTGCTCGCTAGAGCAGGAGTCTCTGGCGGAAAAACAAGGACAAAGTCAGTACTGGTTAATACATATCTACTGTATTTATTAATCAATCAGATTATATAGCTGGTGACAGAATATGGTTGAGTGCCAAGATAGTCAGATCTAATTTAGAAGCCTGGGAATAGTAAACTTTGGCATTTGTCTCCCACTGTCTGCTTCCCCTTTTCTGAATCTCTTTGTCTTTTTCTCTTTTTTTCCCCACTTTCTTTTCTTTTTTCTCAGATTATTTCTCAAAGCGTTTTCCCTTTTTTTGTAATGAACCAGACAGGGCAGCCTTGGATTATTTCCCTTCATTTAGTTTTGCTCAGTTCAGCTTCCTTAGATGCTCCTTTCCTGGCCCTCATCGAGTCCCTGGATAAAATCCCAGCTGCTTTGAGAGTTTGTCCCTCACTGGGCAGAGATTTCTCCTCTGTCTTCCTTCAGTTCCCTCTCTGTATCTGTGTTTTTTCCAATTACTCAAACCATTCATCTTGCCCATCCCATCTGCTCGCTCGCTCTCATACTCAGCTATGGTTCGGTGTGAACTCAGCAGGCTGTAAGATTAATTTCTGCTATTAACTGTTTCACTTGTCTGGCCACTTCTAAGCTTCTACAGAAAGCAGGCTCTGTAAAGCTCGATATTTTAGAAGACTGATGAAAGGCAAGCTGCAATCTCCACTTGACCCTACAGTGCTGTTCAGCAGCAAAGCACGATCGTGCCATACCGAGCTTTCTAGAATCTCATTTTGTCAGGCTTTGCTTTACCACCACTTGTAAATAGAAGGAGCCACATTGCACTGGTAGCCAGGGCATCAGCTTCTTTCTGACCCCGAGCAGTAAATGCTTTAGGCAGTGGGGTAGGACAGGCAGGCTCTGTGACAGTCCTCGAAGTCAGTAGCTGGAGTTGTTTAGGTGTAGGCACTCTGCACGGCACTGGTGGCATCTCTTCCAGAGGCCAAGGATAGCTGTCTCCTTCCTCCAGCCTGCCTCCTGCCAGCAGGCTCTTGGGCAATTCTGAGCTTGGGCTTTGCACATGAGCTCTGTGACTAGAGAAGAAGTAGGACATGAACCCAGATGAGCCCTGGCCCACTGCATGTTGTAGACCCACCTGTAGGGTTCTCTTAGAGGTCGCTTCTAACAGTGACATAGGGCAGCTTCTTCCAAGGAAATCACATGAATGCTAACAGGAGAGACCAATTTGCTCTGCCTCTCTCTCAGGATGGCTCCACCAGAGCTTACTCTCTACACCAGTCTTTTATAACGTTTAACATGAGAAGTATAAGCTCTGAAATGTCCGCGTATGTTTCTATATGTTACTGTTGGTATGGTTGGCTTATTGATAGGGATGAAGAATATTTTCTGGGTCCAAAGATGAGAGGAATTATTTGTACATGAAGAAGAGCCTGAAATTCAGACCTCCTGTTCAGGGTCAGAGAAGAACCTGAACTTACTGAATGGCTGTTACTTCTTGCTACAGAGTATACACAAGAGGAAAAAAACATTAGTTGTATTAATGTTTTCAATCAACGCCAGCCTAAGTTAGCACTGACTCATTTTCAGGAATTAAATTTATCGCGCAGTCCCTGAAGTTCAGGCTGTCTAACACAGAGAAATCGAATCCTCGCCGCTCAGATGAAATCTCCAGGATCTTACCATAAATAAAGCACATTTTGAGAGTTTCTCCAGGAGATGGCAGCAATATACTGCAAGTCTAACAGAATGAACACTGCGGGACTCGTGTGAATGTTGTGTTGTGGGGCACTAGGTTATTTTTAGATTTCTTCGTGTTAATCTTTTTAATTTTTGTGTTGCCGGTACGATGGTATGCATTCAAAGTTCATCGCATCGAATATGCACTGGTGTGCTCCTGCTATTGGTCTGTTACTTGTCAATCTTCCGTCAGTGCTGGTGGTTTTAAGGAGGATGCAAGATGCTTAAAGCATCACTTTTAGTCTTACTCCCACAAATGTGTTAATGATAGGGTTTATTCTTAGGTGGCTTTTGGAGCTGTTCCTGGAGGAAGGCACGGTGCAGGCAGGGCTGCCGAGAGCAGGCTGGCAGCGAGCAGAAGCCCGTAGAGGGCAGCAATATACTGAGCGCCGGCTGGGAGACACTACGCCAATAGACGGGTCCCCTGACTTAAATAAATGACATTTTATTAGCTGCAGATGCCACCAAAATAGGTGCTGCGTGTGTATTTGCAGCCGAGCAATTTGCCTGGAGTTTGGAGGCAAAATCCCCCAGCCCAGCCGCTCGCCCATTGTTCAGGATCTCTCCCGACTTCCAAAAAATGACGAACATGATCCATTGCCACCTACCAGAGTTTTAAAGTTTCCTCCAGAGGTCAAGAAAATGTCCAGACTAATAAAATTACGTCAGGCGTCCAGGATGTGACACAACCTTAACAAAGTCATTTGAAATCATTTGACAGTAAATTTCCCCGTGAGTTCCTAGCCTGGGGCACGGAGAATCCTCTCTTCTCCTCTCCTCCCCAGACGAGCTTCTCGCCGACCATCCAGATTGCGGCACGCCGAGTACGCGCGGGGTCTTGATGCGGCCTGATGGCCTCCTAAAGGCGATTCGGGAGCCTGGCAGAGCCCCTGCAGCTGAGTCGGCTTCCGTCAAGAGCTTGACATTGAATGTGTCGTGTCATGCAGATGGTACCTCAGAGGAGTGAGAGCTGCCATTTACAGCACTGATGACAACAACTGCCGAGATCAGTGGGATCTTAAGATTGCTTTAATATGACTGGCACCTAGCAATTTAGCTCACATTGTTTGTGACAGGGTGTCACTCTTGCACTTGTCTGGGGATGAATGATAGAGGGTTTTAAAGCATGGAGCTTCCTCTTTTGGAGGAAATTAAACCGCTGTATGTACTGATGTGGAGAATTAGATGCCTGCCACAGCAGGGTGTGTTAAGAGAGAGCTTTGCAAAAGCCTGGTAAAAGTTTAGTCTGTCTCATATAGGCAATGACCCTCAAAATTACCCCGCCACCCCCAGTCCCTGTAGACACGCCGTCAGCGCGCAGCATTTGTAAGCGCTTTGGACTGCCTTGCCGTGACCACCCGGTGCCATCTTAGCTTTGTGATTTTCTTCAGGTTAGTCAATATACATTTGCTATGTGCAGCTACCGGGAGAAAAAAGCTGAACCTCAAGAGCTGCTGCAGCTCGACGGATACACTGTGGACTACACCGACCCGCAGCCAGGTACGGGGGCCGCCGGCGGGCTACTGTGCCCGCAGGTGCTCGTGCTCGCCACGCTGCCTACGGCTCCCAAACGGGAGTCCTCCCTCTCTCCCTGCTTGCAGCCGAACCGTGATCAGCATTATTATAAATATGTTTGTGTTTATGCTGATCATTAGCTATGCATGACTTTACTATGAATAGATCTAAGGGATTGAGCTAGGAGTTGCACCAGAGGAGGGAAAGACTCATCTTCTCTGGGGAGTCTAAGTGAATGAGATGCTTAGATCCCAATGAAATTTGTGAGCTGAATGCTCAAATCAAGCGTTGGTCCTTACCTGTGCCTTCAGATTATATTCCTTAAATAAAAGGTTAGCAGTTATGCCTGTAGAAAATATTTATGGGACCAACCCAGCGTTTCTGCCTGCCCCATTTTCTCTCTGATAGATGTGAGTGAGTGGAAGGGGCAGGCTCAGAAACCCCCTTGGTACCTGGAGGTGCCTGCTGTGTACATGGTGCTGAGACGCTTCTTCAAGTGGCCGAGCACCACATTTCTTTCATTTTGGTGGGGCAACACGTTGAGCATGGCGATCCTCACCATGCCCTGGGTAATGGTATCCCCAGAGGAGGTGAAGAAAGACACAGTACGTTGGTTGTCAGGACCTTGACTCCAAGTTAATCCCAGCGTTAGGGAGATGGGTGCCAAATCAGGGCAAAGACAGAAATAAGCACATCACCCAAGCACCTTTTGTGCGGTGTGAGCCCTGGTGCGCTCGGTCTGATAGGAAACCTCCCACCGCATCCCCTCAAAACTCATTTTTAATGGGGCTCCAGCGGTGCAACCCGCACAGGACCTGCACAGATGGGGCTGTAGGTAAGAGAAGCAATTAATCTGAGTGTGTTGGGGCATGTTTTAGTAATCGCAGTGCAGGGTGCTACCTGGGGACCTGGCGGGCTGTTCTGCGGGTGAGTTTGGTGCAGGGGAGGGGACTGAGCTCAGCCAGGAGCCGGGGGCAGCGCGAGGCTGGCTGGGGGACACCCAGGGCAGTGGTGGGGTGCGAAGCCGGGGGACATGCCCTGTCTGGCCTCAAAGTCTGCAAAACTCTGTTGTCGCTTCCTCTCCTGCCAGGTTTGGAGGGCGGCAGAGCATTCTTCAACGCTGTGAAGGAAGGAGACACGGTGATTTTTGCAAGTGACGATGAGCAGGACCGTATCCTGTGGGTCCAAGCCATGTACCGAGCCACCGGCCAGTCTCACAAACCTGTGCCGCCTACCCAAGTGCAAAAGCTAAATGCTAAAGGAGGAAATGTACCCCAGCTGGACGCCCCAATCTCTCAATTTTGTAAGTAAAAAAGTTCTCATAGAGAGCAGAAGTCTTTGATGGAAAGATTTTCTGCACTGATGTAAATCAATATTTTGCACACATGTTTCTGACTCCAAAATTAAATTTTTTTCATTATCATTAAGCTGCTTTTTACATCAGTGGATCCAGACCCAGTTAAGCTGTGTGTTTAGCACAACCAAACCCAAGAAACAAAATTCCTTGGGGAACTTGTCAATGAGTATTTTAAAGTGCAATACTTGATGGAGGAGAGACTGGGATCTGGGAGCCTGAGACCCAGCTTGCTTTCCGCAGACACGCGTTATACCCCCGCACAATAAACTGCACACCCAGATCGGAGCGATTCATTAGCGCCATTAGCTGTCTATCAAATGCACCACGTGCTCAGAACTACAGGTGCAAATCTTGCAAGTATGAAATGCACACACAAAAAGAGGTCTCCTGTTGAATATTCAACTGTAGGAAAACATATGGTATTTTTAACAGGTTGCTTTGCAGGCCAGTTAGATGTGAATTTAAAGCAATCATCTTTTAAGTCGTAGCTATGCTGCATGTCCTGTGCAGTTATACCCAGTTTGCTTAATTTGAAATTTAGAGCAATTTCTTTTGTCTTGCAAATGTAATTTGATTATAAACCAGACGAATGCCTCCTCGCTCATTTTTCTTGAAGGTCTTGATCGCACGTCTGGAGCCTCTTTGTTATGTAACATACAGCAGTTCCTGCTAGTTTCAGCAAAATTTAAGAATTAGTGTCATAAAATATATGTAAAATAAGGAAAAGTGGTAAATATTAGCAAAATCTCCTCATTAAATCAGATTTTAACATTTAAAATAATCTCTGTGAAGCTGATATGGAGTATTTTGTTGTAAGGAACTCAGAAAATCTTCCCCTTGATTATCGATATAATTTGACTGCCTTTTCTATTGATTGGTTTAACTTCCTTTATGTCAGTATTTATAGAAAATAACAGTGCAAGACATACATCTGTACCATGAGTGTCACAGCTGAAAAGCTCTGCTTGCTGCTTTTTTCTTTGGTTTTTTTTTTTTTTTTCTCCTCCACGTGCCTCCGTATTTTGGACACCCTTCTGCCTTGCATTGCCCCTGCTGTCAGTGAGGACGTAGCATGATGCCGTGTGGTAAACCCATAGTCAGTATTTTTCATTTCAGTGACCTTCATCCTCTTCATCCCAGCCAGGTCACTGGCTTTGGGGGTGCAAGGTGTAAAGGGCTGGGGTCAGGAAGGAAGGATGCCTCTCAGAAAGCCAGAATGGGACGTAAGAATGGGCTCTTGTAGGAACTGGCTGAGATTGCCCTCTAGACCTGGCTGAGTTGTCCTGGCCTGGGAGCACTCCCAAGGGTTGTATGTCTCTCTGCCCAGGTTCTTGGATGTAGCAGGCACAGGTCCTTCTATGGCTGCTTTTCTACATGCTAGAAGCCTTCAAAGTGTAGCAAGGGAGAGCACCAGAAGGACGCCGCTCGTGGCTCCCTCTCCTAACAAGCGATGGATGCTCTTAGCTGTGTGGTTGGTGCGAAAAGGATTCTCTCCTGCTTGTCCCAGCGTGACCCTTGCGATTTAGAATGAGGGCAGCGAGAAAATATCAAACTGGGGAATCACCTTTCCCTCCAGGCTTCTCCCATCCCTGCAGGCATCAGGCTTGAAGAATTTTCCTGATGTTTACAGAGTTTTCACTTTGCTGGACCAATATGTGGGGTCAGGTGAAGGGTCCCTTTCTCAGGCACATCATAATTGCCTGGCAGCAGCTGTAGCAAAGTCTGCCGAGAGTTTGGGAAGGGAAAGGGGATGCCTGGGGCAGTGGACCCTCAGGTGTGTTGTCCCCACGCACAGCCTAGCACTGTGTGAACAGGGAGAGCTGAAACCCTCTGCTTAGGTTACTGGGATGGAGAAGGGGCAGCTGGTTTGTCCTAGGCCTTGCCAAGGAGCAGCAAAGTCAGTGACTGAGCCCAGGAGCCCTCTTTGCACCTAACCACAGCCCAGCACATCCACCTGAGATTTGTGCTGCTCGGGGTCCTGCAGGTCTGTATCAGCCTGACTCTGCTCAAAGTTATAGAAATGCCACAGGTTTGACCTTGCTTTTTCTCTCTTACTTGCCTGCCATGAAGCAAGGGATCCCTCTTGCTTCTGGTGAAAACAGCTGAGATTTCATCCCCTGGTCCCTCCAGGGCATCTGAGGGGGTCAGGGTCTGACCTCAGTTTCTCTCACTTGTTCTCATGCTGATACCAGCTCCAAATCTGGAACATTTGGCTTTTTTTGTGCCCCTACCCTCTTTCCATTCACAATGTGTTTTCCCCATAAGCTGGGGGGCTTCAGGCTCCCTTTTTTGCTGCAGGCACTGGGAAACCCTTTCGTTTGCGTTGTGCCAAAGCATGGAAGGGGAAAACCAGTCAGCTCCTCAGTCTGACGATGGCTTGCTACCTCAGCATCCTCTGGGCTAGTCTGTTTTGTCCTCTGTCTTCCTTCCTCCTCCTCCTCTGTTGGATCTAGATCCCTCTGAAAGCTCTTTGTGCGCAGGACCTTCATCCTACAAGAGGAGGGGGGCAGCACGCCACAGTACACCTTCATCTCAACAGCAAGGCCTACTCATTTTTCATATGTTTAACATTTGTACGTGGCAACGCTCATTGCAAAAGTCATTGGGTGCAGAAGCAGAAGTGAGTCATGCATGCCACACGGGATGGCTTATCGGGAGTCTTAAGGGCACAAACACATATCTCAGCTCCTTCAGTCTTGAAATTCAAACATATCAAGTATTGCATTTTTAAAAGGGTCTTGGTTTGTTATTGGGTTTTTTTGGCTTGGGTTTTTTGGTTTGGTTTTGGTTTTGGTTTTTTTTTTTTTGCCTGCAGAAAGGTAAGGATTTTCGCAAGACATTTTATTCTTGTACGTTTATCTTTATACCTGTCATATTTTTCATGCTTATTAGAGGCTATGGTGAATGAGGATGTGCAAAGAAGTAAATGTTAAGCCATTTGACGAGTAACTGTTGTTAGAGCTTTCACGTTGTAGCAGTCCGAGATGGCACATGCGCATGCATGCACATGCAGAGAAAATCCAGCCCTCCGCTCCTGTGATGGAGCTGTCTGTTAAACAGAAACTTGAGATGAACATATTTTGCTGTTGGGGAAACTTGGGAGAAATAGTGAATTCATTTGGTTCCCACCTCTTTTGACTTAGCAAATACAAACTTCGAGCAGCACTCAAATTCTCACCCGCAGTTCGATAGCAGCGCTTGACTTGGAAGTAAGCAGACAGCTCCGAACCAGAGTGGACTTTATTTTATTTGCAATTTAAGTACTGAAAAAAAAATAGATCCTGCTATTCATTAATTTTTGTATGACTCTACAATTCCTTTTATGTGGGTGAACAATACCTGTTCGAGTGAAAAGTTTTGCTTTTTTTGTTTTGCTACAATTTACAAGAAAAACTCCATTCACGCAAAGCTGTGCTTTTCTCCAATGTTCGCATTATAAAAGAAAAAACCCAAAACTGTTCTTGTTTACTGTTGAAATCATGCACAATATTATAGTCAATAATGCTGCCAATACATATTACACCTTTTGGCAATATTTAAGCTTCATAAAAGTGGTCACTTGTCTGAAAGCACCGATCTTTGTTCGTTCTGTGTTAGTGATGCATCAAACAAAATTCCCAAACATGCTCAATGTTCTTTTTTTTTTTTATTATTATTTTTTGAAACCCTTTTCTTTTTAACATGAAAGATTGGTTCGTACTTGTTTTACGTATCACTTGTGGCTATATTTCATTTTTTAATGTCTGTTTATATTTAATGACTGTTTATCACACCATATACAAAGAGTTGGTTGTTTTGAGAATTTGTGATGATTTGTTCCCCGGTATTAAGTAGCAAGGTTTTATTGAGCTGCTTAAGAAATTTTCAGCTGTAAGTGGTTTGGTTTGGTTTTTTGGTTTTTTTTTTTTTGATTGGTTTGATTTTCCTTAAGTTTCTTTTTCATTCTTTGCTTGAACCCAAATATTTAGCTGCTAGGTTAGGGCTCCTGTCTGCTTTCCTGAGCCTTGTTGCTAGTCTTTATGTTATTCTGGTTTGTTCCTTCTTACCCTGCTAACTTCTAGCTGGACTCAAGGGTAAGTGCTTCCCTGTAGCTAGCACAGCTCAGATAATCAGACTAGATTATCTGACATATGCAATGTGCTTTTTTTTTTTTTTTCTCTTAAATCTTTCTCATGTTTAGATTTTGTAGTACAAACTTTCCATGTTATTTTCCTGAACTGAGGTTTGAAATGTAAGTTTCCATACTGAAATTAGGATGCATGTGATGTTTGCATAATTGCCTTCTCTCCCTGGCTTTCACATTGGCATCAAGTGATCCTTTTAGTAAAGCCAATCATTAACATTTCTATTTTTCATTCCAAGATGTAAATATTAATTAACATCACAATAAAACTGTAAATAATACCTTCTTTTGTTTCATGGAATTTACATCTAGTTGACTGCTTCCTGCCTGAAAACAGATCATTTTGCACTCTGACAATATCCTTTCTCTCCGTGCCGATGATTAGCTTGGTGCAGCGCACCAGCGTGCGGGGCTAACCGTGGACACCTCAAAGCGTAGAAAGGTAGGGCAGGAGACCCCGAGAGACCTAGATGAGGTGCAGGACTCCACAGGAGCCCCCCAAAAACCCCTCCGCCCATGCCTTGTGGAAACAAGCCTGAGTCTTCAAGCTTTGGTAGTTCCCTCTCCCCTAAACTTGGTAGGGGATGATTTCGGCAGCACGCAGCAGCTCTCTGGGTCACCGCGGGTTTGGAGGTGCTGACCCACTCTGACTTAAATACATCAGTCACGGAGGGGTGCTGCTGTTCCCCCAAATTATTGTAAATTAATGTTTTAGCATGGGTCTCAATCACCAATCAGAGCAATGCTTGCCAAAGAATAAGCCAGGGCGATTATTATTTTACCTTTTCCTACTGGAATACCTACTCTGAAAAAGATAAAAGCACGAACTTGTGCTGTAAAAGAGCTTCTCCTTAGTCTTTGTTCAGTCTTAAATACACCCGGTACAAATCCTTTATTGGTGTTAAAAGCTGTTTCTCTAATACCTGGTGAGTGCCTGCTTTCCTTAGGAGGGAATAGCGTCAGTGGGTCATGAGAGCTGGCAAATATGTATCCCGAGTACCTGAATGCAATTATGAGAAGGAACAGGCGGTGTCATCCCTCCTGGCCATCAAATAAGACTCCTTTTTTTCTTCTTCTTCCTTTTGTTTCTTTTTTCTTCTTTTTTTTTTTTCCTGTGTGTGAGTATGTGCGTGTGTGTATAAATATACCCCTGGGTAGCAGGCAGAATTCCTTCTCAGCAGACACTTTCTTTTTTCTTTCTTTTTTTTTGTTTTCTAAATGTTTGGATTTCCAAAGAGGATTCTTATCAGAGTTAACTGCGCAAAAAAAAAAAAAAAAAAAAAAAAAAAAAAATTTTAATTTGATGGAAATACAGATTTTTGCCACTTTGAAAGAAAGAAAGAAAGAGTGAATGAATGAATGAACTTGGGTCTGGCAACATTACATGTATTTGCACTACAATGCATTGCTATCCTATTAGATTATTAGTTTTGTGCTGTAATTGCTTTATTTTTTTTTAGATAGTTAGAGATACCATGAGAACGCTGCTGTGTCTTCTGTATTGTCAACTTGCAGATGCTTCATTTCAGGAATGCAGAATTAAAATGTTAATTCAGTTCTCACCTAACTTGCATGAATTTAAAACTAGTCTGTAAATCACTTCTACGTGCTTTAAGAAGCATGGGACTCTAACTTATGAAATACAAATTCACAGGTTTCCGCAGCCATCCAATTCAAAATATTTTTAAATAGTTATAAAAATGCTGTGAAACAATGTTTTGTATTATAAATAGCTGTTCTAAAACTGTGTTTTTAACTTGCCACACAAGGAGTTATGTAAGTGCATACTACAAATTCTTACTCATTTAACTACCAAACATTAGATAACTTAGATTTCAGTCCAGTGCCGAGTGTGTCTGGTGATTTACAGCAATATTCATAATTGTTTATTAAAATTGTAACTCAAGCAGAAAAGAATTTGTTTGCAGGAGGGGAAGAGCCGTAAAGCACAGGAATAAACAGCCGATTAAATTGAAAGCCATCTTCTAATGTGGAATAATATGAAGGGAAAAAAAAAAAACCAACACCACAAAAAAACAAAAGAGCTCTTAGATCCCCAGCTGAGAGGCGAGTCCAGGCTGCAGCTCGGAGCGGGGAGGAGGTTTGCAGAGCCCCGTGCACCCACATGCACCATGCACACACATCACTTTTCGGAGGTGGCAATGCCATAGTGCACGGCGAGGAGGGGACTTGGTAAGTCACCAGCCGGCACTGCCAGCAGCTCGCTCGCCATCAACAGCCTGGCACGTTAAGTCCCGGTACAGGGTTGGGGTTTTTTTTTCTCCCCCTCCAGAACACCGGTATTTGCTAGCAAAGCCTCTCGCTCCACACGGCTGAACAAAACGAGGTTTCTAGGCACTTGCCCTGGGTATTTCTTTAATGAGTCGCAGCCCAAGTGTGTCCCTTAGCTCCGGCTCAGCGGCGAGAGCAGGAGGGGAGCACGGGGCCGAGCGTGCGGCAGGTCGCGGTGGGCACGGCGTCCCCCGCCCGCCACGGCGTGTTGCCGGCAAGCATCGCCGTGCAGGCTGGAAAACTTCTCCCGCTTTGCCCGGCCAGGCCAGCAAAGAGTTTTCTAGAAATATCTGTAAATGAATAGCTGCCATCAATCATTGTCATTCCTTTATTTCATGTCTCCTGATGAGGTTGACTAGTGTCATTGTTTGTTACTGTCCAAACCACATCTTCATTCTTGTAATGTCAAGCAGATATGACAAGCACACATTTTCCAGATGAGTAAGATACAAAGTCACCTTTTAATTTACAGTTGTTTGGGTTTTTTTGTTTGTTGGTTTTGGTTTTTGTTTTGTTGTTTTTTTTTTTTTAATAAGCAAACATGTCTTAAAATTTCCTGGATGTTCAGTTGCCTTTGGTACTAAAACAAAGTCACTCATTAACGAAAAGGAATAAATCTGGAGTAAGAAATTCTTACAATAAAATGGCTACCTAAAGCCTTTTATAACAAGAATTCTTTTATGGAGCTTGTCCCCCGCTATTAACTTCACTGCTCTCAGAGCAAAATCTGCCGAAATTATTGCTGGAGCAAAAGAAATGCAGAGGGCAGGGAAATACATTTTAAAAAAAGAATGAGAGATTTGACTGTTTTGTCTCTTCCTTTTTAAATAGCAGTTAGATAAAGAGAAATACAGCCCTCAGAGGACCAAATGGTGGGACAGTCCTTTGGTTTTCATTATTGTTGTTGTTGTTGTTGAAATCTTTGTGTTCCCGACACTGGCAGATTTTTAAGGCTCTGATTTCAAACACTTGCAGGGAGTGTGTGTGTGTGTGACAGGGGGCTACTTAACCGAGTCAGTATAAAATGCAAACTGGATAAAAATGAACAAAATAAACCCGGCAGCATTAAAAAAAGACCGTAATGTAGGTGACCGAGGGTAATATAAAAGGCCAGAGTCTGCAGTTTTCTAGAAGAAAGGTTCGCGGAGGCTGTGCTGCCAATTTACCTCCACTGGCAGCCTCCCTTCCGAGACCACCATCGAACACCTTTCAGCTGCAGTTGTGTGCAGCTTGTCTAAATATCTAAGATAACTTTTGTGGGCCTGCAGCAGCATTTTGGCTGGGGCCCCGAACAAAGAAGCACCAGCGAGCTTGGCACAGCACCTTGGGAAGGGATTGTAAATTACTGGAGCATCATATAACTTTCTTTCTTTGGTTTCTCCTTTCTTTTTAGCTAGAATAACAGAGCAGGGTCAAAAAAGCAGCCGTATTTGACCGAAACAATTCATTTAAAGTACTTGCAAATTAGCTGTACAGTTTGTGTGTGAATATTAGCCGTTCTCATTTTGTACTTTGTTTAAAATCTCATTCAAACTGTACAGGCCATTTTGAAAGAGGTCGGATTATATATAAAACTTACTTCGTATGCAGATGTTGGTGTTATTTTAAGTCACACAGGTCAGCTGTCTGGAACGAAGGACCAATGTATTTAGATCTATCCTGTTCTTTTTGTGTTGCCTGGGAAGTTTAATGCTTTTGGTATACTTTGACTCCTAAATTTCAGTTTTAAAAGCGAGTCCGCTGGAAGAATCAAAATACAAAAATAAATTGCAAGTTGCATGGCATGTTTATTTTCTGAGAGTTAATTAAGGGAAGGTGAGTTTAGTGTAGGATTGTCCTTTTTAACCCGCTCCTAGTTATGCTTCAGAATTTTAAGCATCTGTCCCAGAGCAGATATTCCATCCAAGAGAAATACGTATGTGTATTACTGCTCTCCAAAGACATCTCCAGTTCAAACCGCGCCAGCTTTATCCCCTGGGTGGGCAACGTGCACCCACCCAGCCCGCAGCTCTGCGGGTGCAAAGCGATCTGATCGTGCCCGAGGTGCGGGGCTGGGCGGCTGCACGGGGAGCTGCAGCTGGACATCTGCCTGCCCGTGGCAGAAAGCCGCGTTTTAAACCACCGACCCAGCAGAAGTTGTGCAGCTCATGCTTTTTTGGTCACTCGAGCTCGTGTGGTGCCACGTCTGATGCCTCTCTCTTCAGGTGGTTGTTGTTCTAAGATGGTGAGATTTGGGACAAATGGGCTTTCGAGCAGGCACCCAATGGGATGCTCAGTAAGGTCTTGCTTCGTAGTGATTAGGGAGAGTAAAATTGCCCCTGCTTATGGACAGTCGTGAAGGCCATTTAAGCGCTGTGTCAATTCTCAGTGCTTGGCAGGGAACTGTCTGTGCCCTTGCCTTGGGCAGGGAGATCTTAAAAAGCCCAGGACAGACCCTCAGATCCATCGTAACCAGCAGAGCTTCAGCTGGTTTGCACCACCAAAAGGTCTGCTCTGTGTCCACCTTGTTCAGAGAACATAACGTGGGAAAAAGCTTATTCGTTTGGAGTAAAAAATACTCATTTCCAACATGCTTTCTAGCACATCTGCTCAAAAAAGTTCACCAGCTAAAGGGCTAGGGGACTCTTCACATTTCCAGCTGATTTACTCAGCTCTCAGAGCCTCGTTGGCTGAGCAGGAGGATTGACAGTGTATCAGGGCTCCTAATTGAAAAGTAATAAAATCTCTGAGCAAAGCTGGCAAATGAAGGCCTCCAGCCAATTTGTCAGCTTGCAGTCAACTCAGAGGAGCTGGGCAGAGCAGCAAGCCATTAAAAATAGTCTGATAATATCTGTTAGAATATTTTCCGGGCACCAGGGATGGAATCAAAAACAGCGTAGAAAAGCTCTTTGGGAGTGAACTCATTCAGATCGATCTTGGCCCAGAGGGACAGAGACGATGGGGCAGAAAGCTGTCAAAACAGACAGGAGCCAGCCCACGCCGTGAGCCCCAGGGCTGGGTGGGCTCCACATCCCATGCCCCAGGGTGCTGGAGAGGTGCCGTGGAGGTGATGTGCTGGTCGGGGAGGTTGTCGCTGTCCCCTGAGCCAGCCCTCGCGCTGCCACCTCGCTCAGCACCGCCGGCGGCTTCTTCTGTCCCCCTGGCGAATGCACGGAGTGCTGGTCGGGGAGGTTGTCGCTGTCCCCTGAGCCAGCCCTCGCGCTGCCACCTCGCTCAGCACCGCCGGTGGCTTCTTCTGTCCCCATGCCGAATGCACGGAGCTGCCAGCAGAGGCGGAGGGGGGATTTGGGACCAGGGAGGGAGGGAGGGAGGCAGGGGGGAGGCAGCAGGACCCAGTGCACGGAGCAAAAGAGGGGAGCAGACCCTCAAAAATTAACCAGCTGTAGGAAAAAAAAAATAAATCAGTGTTTATTCAGCAGGGTTTTAATGAGGAAAATTGCCAGCTACTGCTGAATTAAGTATTGCTAGCAGCTAATTGAAATGTTGCATGTTTTAATTTGTCTGATTTCTTTCCAGTGGGTGATGTTATTTATATAGTTTGTATATAGCTAACGACAGACTATACAGAAAATGTAAAGATTGCTTCCAATGATCAGTAATATCTGAGAGCGCAGGCATGAACGAGGTTTTTAGGAAGATATGCCATCCTTCACAGCTTAATATTAAATAGTAAAACATATGTAAAAGAACACTATCTCATTATCATTTAAAGCTCCTTTTATTCCTTTTTTTTTTTCTTTTAATTAAGGATTTTTGTTTCTTCTGGTAAAGAGGGATTTTGTTTTAAAACAAATACAGTTACCATATACTACTATTGCGGAAAACTGCATTTTTTGTGTCCTTTCAGCCACATTGTTTCAAGGCCACCCAGTTCCCCTAGGAGGCTATAAACAGGGGAAGGATTTAAATCCTATTCTCTTTGTCGAGGATTTGGCAAGAACCCATATAGTAGGAAGCTGAGCACGGACAAAACCGAGTGAAAGGTGTCCTTTAATTCCCTGGCCGCTGGTAGAACAAAGCCTGCTCCCAGCGGGGTCCCGGCTGGCCGCACCCAGGCCGGCTTGGCGCCTTCATTTCAACTGCTGAATTCGGTGTATTTTTAGTTAACCATGTTGAGATTAATTAATTAGCCCCTAGGAGTTAGTGCCCATAAACGTCACCCAAAGCAGAGAAGTGTGAATACGTTGAGGCTGTTAATTCACCCCAAAATGGCAGTTCATAATCCAGGCAGGGGAAATTCAGCCCCTCCGTCGGGATGACTGGCAGCTCCGGTGCACGGTCGGGTTAGTGCCTCGGTGACAACAAACTACATATCAATTTAACTTCTTAGCAATGCTTAAAAGAGCATCTTTTTATTTCGGTGAGGTGGCACTTGAAGTTGCCATTAGGAAAAAATTGCCGCGGGGAGACAAACGTTGGCATTTGGATACAGAGCGATGTAACTGGTTTGATACCTAGAAAACCTAGTAAATGTAGAGAAAAATGCTACAGCTGTAACTTCATTAGAATGGCAGAATCTATTATAATTAACCGCAACTAGCTAAATAGGAGCTAATTTACTTATGCGAGCCAAAATTCTGTTAACTCATAGCGTTATTGTAAGATACAGAGTAAGTTCTTGGGTTTGTGTTCTGGTTTTAAGTACAGAATAAATGCACGATAATGAGCAGTTGACAAGATGTTAACTCTAAAATCTCTTGCCTAAATGCAATCAGATCGTCCATAACTGATGCAAGTTGACAATGGGAGGTGAAGAGTGTACTGTATAGCCTGCAAAGAGAAAAGTTAATGGCAATGTAGGGAAGAGGAGATATTTAGCTTTCATGCTTCATACTGTATATTTTTCTCTGTTGTATTTGTCAACTAAAATGTCTTATATCTCTCTAAATGGTGTCTTTCTCTATATGTATAAATGAACAGATGCAGATAGAGCTCAAAAGCATGGCATGGATGAATTTATCTCTTCCAATCCCTGTAACTTTGACCACGCTTCACTCTTTGAGATGGTTCAGCGCCTCACTTTGGACCACAGACTTAATGATTCCTATTCTTGTCTGGCAAGTATATTCTTTGGTCTTTAGTGATATAAACATCAAGCAGCAAAGTCAAAGCTAGTGCAAGTGGGGGCTAATCCCCTTGTTGCTGGAAGATTGACTCCTGTTTACACCAGGTTTGAATTTGGCCCAGGGGTATTTTCTTTTGAGAGGCTACCTGCAGTGAACTGACTGCTGTTCTTCTCCAGTTGCACTGTCTTTACTGTTTCTGTTTGCAATGCTTAAAATGTTTCTTCCTGCAAAGACAAACGCCAGTGTGGGGACGTGAAGTAGAGAGCAGTGTTGTGCAGCCTCCCGCACTGCCTTCCAGAGCCTTCTGGATGAAAGAACAGGGGAAAGATGACGGTCTGGTACCACCTCCCATGTCAATGGAGCCCCACCAGCAATGACTCTGGCCCAGCTTTGTGTCTCTTTATGAGCAGGGATGCCAAGCAGGTAACAGGTGGGGCGAGGTGGGTACCTGCAGGGATGCTGCAGCCTGTCCGCGCTCGCCCAGTCGCGTGCCCATCCTGATTATTCTCGTGGGCACAGGTTGCAGCTCTCAGCCCACTGCTGTGCAACATGGTCTATAGGATGGTGGCACTGAGATACACCTTGTAGCCTTTGGCTGGGGTGCAGTGCCTGGGGGCTCTTAGGTATTGTGGGGATTTAAATGACAAATAACCTTTAACAATACAACTTGAACTATTAATTTTTAGCAGTTTTGGTGGGAAGGATGAAGAGGCTCTTAGGTTTTGAGAAAACAACAGGATGAAGCCTTTCCAGAGGGGCCTGAATGCTGTCCTGAACACGGCATGGGACAGATCCTGACCTGCTGCTCTCCCCATGTTGCACAGAAACCTCCACACTGGGGTCTGTGCCTTCAGCAGAAGGACCACCCCGTGCCGATAGCCTTCACCTTTTGCCAGCTCTGCAGCCCCTGGAGCTGGGGCTCTTGAGTGGCTCGCTGTTAAAAGCAGCAACCTGGGAACACAACTGAGGAGCTGGCAGTAGGGCTGTCAGTCTCAAGTCCTGCCCTCCACGTCCCCCTCCGCCATGGTGCTCCTCTCACCTGCTCTGCTCCTTGCACCGCACGCAGGGGCTGTTCTCCTCAGAAAGGCTAAAGATCCAGTAAATGCCATTAGTGGTAGTGAGTTGTCACCTTCCTGATGAGAGGCAGGGTAGGAGGAATAGTTTGTGGACATCCCCTGAGGTAAGGATGGGGTGGGGGAAGGCTGCAGCGTGCCCTGTACCCACAGATACCCAAGCGGTCCATGCAGGCTTGGTGGGAGCATTGTCAGACCTGCAGCAGGTTTCTCACCGGTTCCATCAAGGTCTTTGCTCCGGCAGGCAGTGAATTTGGCATGCAGCTTCTGCTCCCCACGCATGGCTGACCCTAGGAAGACCATCCCCATCCATGCATGCCTCACAGGTTGGCTTGCAGCTGGTTTGTCTCTGTGCAGTCTCAGGCCTGGTGAGAGAGCTGTGGCCGTTAAATTAAGTTCATGGAAAGGTGCAAGACCATCACTGAAAATGATTAACAATATTTCTCTTCAAGAACCCCACCGGCCCCACTTCTGCTTGTGATCGAGGTGTTTAGGCCCTTGCTAGAAGCTACCGGAGTGGAGGAGCTCCCCTCAGCACCAAGACTTGTGCCTCTTCGGAGCGGAGCATCACCAATTAACCATCTTCTTTCAAATCACCCGTTGTAGAGTGTTATAAAGAAGAGAATAACAGCCTGTGTTCACCTACGCTTGGATTTCACATGCTTCTTTTCTTACTTTACTATGGGTTTTGTCCTGATTATGGCGTAAAAAACCAGACTGACCTCAAAATTTGAGTTCAACCGCAAAGAGCTCCCATTGCTCTTGCTGTGTCTTTGGGATGTTGGTGATACCACTGCGCTGGCTTGCCTGGAGGAGCTGGGAGCCCGTGGTGAGCCTGCTCTGTCCGTTCTCTGTGCTGCCTGGCAATTGTTATTCTCCCTACAGGACATTCCCATGCGAGGTCCCGCAGAGCTTTGCCTCGTCACACCTCTTCTTGTTTTCAAACGTGGACGCAGAGGTGCCAGGGAAGGCTTACCCAGACACAGTGGCTTACCCTGACACAGAGGATAACTCAGCGTTGGCTCCTTTCCGTGGAACCAGGTTAAACAACGTTACTGCGAGCCCACTCGCTGGCTGAGCCAGGCGTCCCTATGAAAACAAACAGGCTGGCTGACTAATCTCAGCTATGGCAGAAGTGATGTTTGCTGGCAGAGAGCACTGTGCTGGGGAAGGGGAAGAACGTTGTCTGCATTGCTTGCTGAGGGCTCCTGCCCGTTGTCCACAAACTGGTAGCACAGTTGCATTCACAGCTCTTCCTGGGCTTTTGGGAAGATTATGCAGCTCTTCCAGCTTAGTGTGGGCCCCCCCACACACACACACACGCTTGGGTCTTCATTCCTTTCTGCTTGGACTTGTGCGCTATTTCTGAGACTGCCCTTCGACTCCTTCCAAGACTTCCCAACCTGCTGCCGGCATCCGGCTCATGCAGCTGGAGCTGTATTTCCCATGATGTGTCAGCGTGCGTGGGATTCACATAACACAGCATGGCACGTGCTGAGGAGAGGTGGTCTTCCAGAGAGCCCAGCTTAGCCGAGATGACATGAAGGAGTCAGATTAAAAGATCCATGGAGCAGGCTGCCAAAATGAAATTGTTTTGTTTTACCTATGGTAGATGACAAAGTTCAGCTACTGAAAAGTGAAAATTTTCCCTCAAAACCCCTGGTTTTCACAAAATCTGCATTTACCATTAGAAAAATTGCCAGTGATTCACCGAGCCTGACCAAGCCTTGCCTTACCCAGCTTCGAAGCTCCCGCTGCACTCCCCGACGGTGCCGGGGACCCATGTCCCGTTCTCGATGAAGTTCAGCTTGGTGAACCCAGCCAGCTGAGCTCCCCATGCCCTACAGCCTTCCTCTGATGCCCCCTCTAGGTTTCCTTATGCCTTTGAAGACCATCTGGGAGACCACACTGAGCTACACCTAGCTGCATTGGGGCGAGACACCCGGTGTGTCACCACCATCAGCTGCGTTTGCCAGACTGGCTGGTTGTCAGCTGGTTGCGCCAGGCAAATCTTAATCAAGAGCCAGGATCCGCCTGAAGATGTGGGGGATTTGTCCGAATTCTGCCTTTCATCAAACCTCAGATTTTTCTGGGGCTGTGGGGAGCAGCATTTGCTGCTCCTTTGGAGCTCCGTTCAGCAGCAGGATTTTTATTTCATACCTCTGCTGTGCAAAAGGAGACCACCTGGTCCTCCCGGGCTCCAAATCTCTCCCCCCGTAGTCTGCCTGCTTGTGCTGTCATGCGGTATCGTGGTACGAGGCTCATCACTGAACCTCTGAGCTTCTGCTCGAGCTTCCCCTCCGCGAGCCATGGCAGTGATCTTGAGTGGTTACCCCCATCCCTTGTGACCAGCACTTCTCAGAGCCCGGTGCAGGGGAGCAGCGTGGGGTGCGCTGGATCTCTGGGTCCAGCCTCCTGCTTCTTTCACCCCAGACTCTGGGCTTGATACCTGGCTCCAGTAAAATTAGTGCCAGCCTTCCTGTTGGCGTCAGTCGGGCCAAGATTTTGCCCCACGGGGAAGACCGAGTCCTTTGTACGTATTAGGTGAATATAACAATTTCAACGGCGTTTCTGCCCCAGTAACCAACTGCACACGTCTTTCTATCGCAGAACAGTTACAGCATTTCTATATTTTTACCATGCCTGATCGCTGAAGGCTTGTGTGAAGAGAGGCAAGGTGAAGAGACGGTTCAAGGATGTAACAAACAGGCAGCGTAAAGAAATCCAGAATCAAGCATAATACAACCAACTGAAAAGCAAACAAAAATACCGTTAAAAGCATCGAAGGCAAATATACCCCTCCCAAAAAATGGCCTTCCAGAGTGCCGTCCCATCTGCATTGTTCTGCGGCTTCATTTTGAAATGTGCACTTCTAGTGATCCCAGCACTGTAGCTACTCCCTATATCTATCATTTTCCCCTCATTATTTTAATTCTTTTCTCAATCTGTTTTGGAGTTGGCCCAATAAGGATGAGCAAATCCTTCTCTATGTCTTTGAGCTCTTAATTGATATTTCTTCAACTCTTTTCAAAGCAGCTATTTTGGCATCTAGAAAAGATTTGGTGTCATCTGAGTGGTAGAAAATATATTTTAATCTTTCACAGCAGTGTTGTTTCTAAGATGTAGCATTTGGGGTAACAGATGGGGTGGCAAAGAAGTTGCCTATAGGGGCAGTGCTCTGCCTCAACTACTCTCCCGCCCGCTGCAGGAACTTTTCAATTAAACGATGAAAGATTTTGCAGCTTGATGCATTCCAGAGCTGCGTCTTAGCAATTGTTTAGCACCCAAATTTCCATGTAAATATTGACGGTTTTGCAGCATTTTGAAAAGCAATCTACAAGAATATTCCTGTTCTCGCTAGCGCCTTCCCCGAAGGCAGAGGCTCGCTCCGCTTCGGCTGTCCTGGGATGTTCACCGGAGCCATCCCCCCGCGGGGAAGGGCGTCCTCCTCGGAAGCACAGACGTTGCACCACGAGCCGTGTGTCACCGGGCCCCCAGGACTGACAGACAGAAATAGTCTGAGGTTCCCGGATGCGTAAAGAAACCCTGCTCGTGAGCAGAGCTTCCCTTTGCTTCGATGCCGAGGAGGTGGGCGATGGCAGAGCGCATCGCCAGCAGTACGCAATAAGGACGATGGGAAACGTCCCTTTCTGATACTGCGGAGCTGCCTTCCTCCCTCTGCAGGATGTTCCCACCTGCCAGATGCAAGAGGAGTCATTATTCAGTGTAATCCTCCATGCTCTCCCCCAGACCGGTCTTCTTGCTCCTGGCCGAATGTACAATCCCATCCCCGAAATGAGATCCCTGTTTCACGCTGTTTAAATAACCAAACCTTTATCATCTCTTGAAGGTGTAAGCCTTTTTTTTTTTTTTTTTTCTTTTTTTTTGCTAGGCACTGACATGAACTCACCTAACTTTTCAGCATTTTAAATGACATTTCCCTTTAATGGTAGCATAATATGTTTTTATTAACAGTTGCACTGAGTATATGCTGCGTTTGGGTGATGATATACAGACTGTATTGTTTAAGAGTGACCTCTCTCCTTTTTCCTTAACATAGCCTTAGGTTTGTATTTCTTTTATTAGAACAGTTGACCACTACACCTCCAAAGCTGATAGCCTTTGTATTTAATAACTCATATTTAAAATCAAGTCTCTTTATTTCTAAACAGGGCTGGTTTAGTCCTGGCCAGGTCTTTGTGCTAGATGAGTATTGTGCACGTAATGGAGTGAGAGGCTGTCACAGACATCTCTGCTACCTCAGAGATTTGCTAGAGCGCGCAGAAAACGGAGCTATGATTGACCCCACCTTACTTCACTACAGCTTTGCCTTTTGTGCATCACATGTTCATGGCAACAGGTAAGGAATTCTTCTCGGCTAGCAGCTCCCTGCCAGCAAGGGATGACTTTGTCAAATATAGGTTTCCTTGGATAATGCACAACAGTCCCCAATTTGTTTTCACAGTGGATGTTTGGCAGCAGCGCTTCTAGTGGCATAGTCGGTTTGTTTGTTTGTTTCCTTGCTTGTTTAATGTAAGCAATAAAAATGCACGTAGAGGATCCAGGAATGAGGGGGTTTAACTTTCTTACCCAGGCACCTGCCAGATGCAGTTCTGGACAAGAGAGAGCTGAAGTACGTGTGACTGTCACGGGGTGAATAAATGGAAGTAAACGATACACTGTGCTGATTTAATTGCTGGACAAGAGGGTCTGACAAGTTGCAGCAGTATCAAACTTCAGTGCTTGGAAGGGCTTTAAGCCCTTGGGCACCCATTTGAAGCCCATGTGGCGTCGTCAGTTCGGAAATTGCTTAGACATAACTGAAAAATTTTTATCTTGCTCTGTTCCAAAGCAATTTCAGTTTCAGAAGTAGCCTATTCCTTTCTCTCAAATGTGGCAAATCTTTGGTGGGAGGAACTGGAGCTGTGCTTCTTCCTTTTCTGTTTATTTTGTTGACAGCTGTAGCAGCTTCTTTTTCTGCTTTTTTTCTGTTAAGTTGCATTATATGCTTTGAGGTATCGCTCTCTATCCTGCATATGCTGCTGGAGAAAGGAATGTTATAAAATAATTATGTGTTTTCATAAGCCCTCTGGTAAATACCATCCCAAATTATGCCACACATTGCCCAGGTTTCACGTTGCAAGGCTGCCGCTTGCTTTTGCAGTTACTTTCATACATCTTGTCATGGAAACCGAGTTTTTGCTTCCTTAGTTTCTTTTTTAGTTCTGACTTTCTTTTGCTCTTTCGTTCCTTCTTTGCCAATTGTTTCTTGATTTCAGTTGTTTGCTTTCAGTTTAGTTTCCTTTTGTTTTATTTTGAGTTTTTTTCATGCTTTCTTCTCGTTTCTTTCACTTTTGCTGCTGGCCTTGCCCCCCGCGTTTCAATCACTCCCCAAAGCCAACACATGGCAGAATTGCTTGGTGGGTCACAGCCAAGTGCAGACGGCGAGGGGGGCAAAGTGTCTCATGCCTCTGCCGCTGAAGCGGAAACAAAAAAGGATTCCAAAAAGGAGTCCAAAAAAAGGAAAGATTCCAAATCCCAGCCGAATCCAGAGCCAAAAAGGTAAGCGAAAGCGTGCAGTGCACAGAAGCGTGTTGTAGAGGGCACCGGGCTCCTCGGTCACTGAGCACACTGGGCAGTTTGGGTCCCTGCGGCACGGGGAGACCCCCTGCGGCACCAGCGTTCAGGCCGTGCACTCTCCTGGGAGTTGGATGGCATTTGGGCACCCACCTCCCCTAGGGGGTCAGGGCATTGAGGTTTTCAGGCGTGTGTTTAGGAGATGGCTGACATAGTGTGTAGGGCTTGAGACTGGGCAGGGGAAACCGGCTGCCCCCATCGCCCCTCTTCCACAGGCAGGGCTTGTCCTGGCAGGCGGCTGTTTTGGGGACAGGACCTGGTTCAAAGCCCGTTTGGCCCATAATGGAGAGGAGATTGGCTGTGGGTCTTGGCTACCCCGTGTACATCTTCACAGGGCCCAGCAGAGCCAGAGCCAGAGCCTCCTCTTCACTGGGGCCAGTGGCAAAAGG